ATGTGTTAATATAGAAATATTTAATTTAAGAAAATATGAAAATATGAAAATAATAAATTATTATAATCCATGCAAACACCTTGATAGTGAAATGTTTAAAGAAATAGCAGGGAGACCACATAGAAGAGAACTATGGTGTGGTGATTTTAATGCCCACAATAGTCTTTGGGGTAGCAAGAAGACAGATCATAATGGTAACATAATTGAAGAAATAATGGATGAAAGATCATTAGTATGTCTTAATAATGGAAAAGGTACAAGAGTAAATATACATAAAAATACAACCTCATGTCTTGATATTACATTAATATCCAATTGTCTTGTTAGTTCATGTGAATGGGATGTCAAATGGGAGTCTACATTAGGGAGCGATCACTTTCCAGTGAGTACAATAATTAATGACAGTATAAACAGGCAAAAAGATTTTAGTTTAACAAAATGGTGCTTTAATAAAGCTAACTGGCAAAAATTTAAAACAATCTGTGAGGAAACCAGACACATGGTAACATTAAAAGGCAACATTGAAGAATGTACAAGTCAAATAACAGAACATATTTTAAATGCTGCAAATTCTAGCATACCAAAAATAAAAATAAAAGGTAAGAAAAAAGTAGTTCCTTGGTGGAACGATGAATGTACTACAGCAGTTAAAGAACGTAACAAGGCATTTAAAATATTACAGAAAAATTTAACAACGGAAAATCTTATTGAATATAAAAGGAAAAGAGCAATAGCTCGTAAAACTATTAAGGACGCAAAAAAGAAAACATGGAGAGAATATTGTTCTTCAATAGGTTCAGAAATAAAATTACAAAACGTTTGGTCAATGTTTAGGAAAATGACTGGGAAAAGGAATGATGTTAAAATACCAACCTTAATCAGAGGTCAGGAGATATTGGTGTTAAATAAAGATAAGGCACAGTTCATAGTGGCGAACATCTTACAGACATTCATAGACAGCAGAAGACTCAAAAACTTGGAAAGCATAAAAATATTTTGGAGAAATGTAAAAAATATATGACAACATTAGACATGGAAATAACCATGAAAGAACTTAAAACAGTATTGAAAGGGACAGGTTATTCAGCTCCAGGGGAGGATCAATTATGCTATGCTATGTTTCGACAGATTCCGGAAGTAACATTGAAATTAATATTAAAACTGTTTAATAAAATATGGAAAGAAGGTTTAATACCAAATAACTGGAAAAGGGCAACAATACTGCCGTTCAATAAACCAGGAAAAGATCCTATCAGTCCGAATAATTATAGACCAATAGCTTTAACATCTCATTTAAGTAAATGGATGGAGAAAATAATGGTCAATAGATTAGGATATGTTCTTGAGCATAGGAAACTACTTAATGGATATCAATGTGGCTTTAGAACAGGGAGATCAACAATGGATGCTAACTAGAATCAGTAATGACATAGAGAAAGCTTTAAAAATGAAGGAAATAATGATTATAATATTTTTTGATATAGAAAAAGCATATGATTCATTATGGAGAGAAGGATTACTTATAAAAATCAAGCAGATGGGAATTGGTGGGAAAATGTATAATTGGATAGCAAATTTCCTTATGGATAGAAAAATTAGAGTGAAGATTGGGAATGATTATTCGAAAGAATTTAATGTGGAAAATGGAATTCCTCAAGGTAGTGCAATCAGTCCAATTTTATTTAATATTATGATTAATGATATCTTTTCGGATAATGATAAATGTATAAAATCTGCACTATATGCAGATGATGGGGCCATATGGATGAGGGGAAAGAATATAAAACATGTCGTAGGAAAAATTAAGAAAGCAATTAGTAAAGTAGAAAAATGGTCTTATGAATGGGGTTTTAAATTATCAGCAAGCAAGTCTTGTTTTATGGTTGTTACAAATAAGAGAAATAGTGATATAGGAACATTAACATTATACGGACAACCTTTGGAAAGGGTAGCAGAATTTAAATATCTAGGCCTATGGTTGGATAGTTCTTATACATGGAAAACACATATAGAAAACTTAGAAACAAAATGTAAGAAAGTTATAAATCTACTAAAAGCTGTGGCTGGAAATGATTGGGGTGCAGATAGACAGTCACTATTAAACATATACAGGGCTCTCATGAGATCAATAATAGATTATGGCAGTTTTATATACGGAGCAGCAGCAAAAACATCATTACAAAAGATAGATAGGTTACAGAGTAGGGCTTTAGGTATATGTACAGGAGCAGTGAAAACGACACCTATTAATGCTCTTTTAATAGAGACTGGAGAGACCCCACTGGAAATGAGAAGAATAAAATTAGCTCTAGTATATTGGATGAAAATTAAAAGCAGTAAAGAAGATAATGCAACTACAACAATTTTACAAAACTGTTGGGAATACTCAACTTTCCAGAGTAATGGATTTGGATGGACTGTAAACAAGTTGATTAAAATGTATGGATTAGAGGATAAGGAAATAGCACGGTTTAATCCGATTAGTGTTATTCCTCCATGGCTATTTCCTGAGGTAAATGTAGACATGAAACTTCTTAAAATGAAAAATGACTGGAATTTAAATGAAATAGGGGTAAAGACAGACATATATTTAAGAAACTCATATTCTAACTACCTTAAAATATATTCAGATGGCTCTAAGAATTTAAAAGGATGTGTGGGAATAGGAATACATATACAAGAATTTAAAATGTACATTTCTAAAAGATTATCAGATCAACTATCTGTCTTTACAGCAGAAATGGTAGCAGTTATGCTAAGCTTACAATGGGTAGAGGAGGTTAGACCAGACAGGGTGGTGGTGTGCACTGATTCCAAAGCAGTTATAGAAAGTATTCAGGGAGAAGGAAATAATAGGAAAGAGTTAGTATTAGAAATTCAACACTGTTTATTTAGACTATACAGGGGTGGCATTGATGTTTGGTTCTGTTGGGTTCCAGCACACGAAGGTGTAAAGGGCAATGAAAAGGCAGATAAACTAGCAAAAAGGGCGCTAGAGGGGGCAATAACAATTACAATCCCTTTTGGGAAAGGGGAAGGGAAATCACTTATTAAAAGTAAAGAAATAGAAAAATGGCAAACAAAATGGAATGAAGATAAGAAAGGAAGAAGTTTCTATAATGTACAAAAGTCAGTATTAATTAGAAAAATCACTGAGAAAAATAGAAGGGAAGAAATAATAATGTTCAGATTAAGAGTAGGTCATACCTATTTAAATGATAATTTATATTTAATAGGGAGAAAACAGAACGATAAATGTGAAGGGTGTGGAGAGAAAGAAAATGTAGAGCACATATTGATGAACTGTAAAACATATGAACCTGAAAGGGAGAAACTGAGAAGAATGGTTAGAAGGACAGGTCAAGAATGGAGTCTTAAAGGAATATTGGGAAATGAAGGAAACATAATGGATATTTACAGAATAAGAAAAGCAATATTTACTTTTCTGCAAAATACTAGGTTAAAAAATAGAATTTAATAGATGTGAAGTAGTGTTGCTACACACTCGTGTACAGTAGGTGGCGGTATGCACCTTAAAGTTGCTTGCGATCCGCCATAATAGAAAAGAAGAAGAAGAAGAAGAAGAAAAACAGACAGAACAGAATCACACAAGGAGCAGAATGAAATAAACATAAAAAGCAGAAAAGGGGAAAACACAGAAATACAAGACAGACTACGGACAGACTGTGTCATTTTGATGCCACGTTTCAAAATTTACTCTAATTTACTGTTTCAACTGAATCCAACTGGAATCGGTCTCTGGTTTGACCTACGGTCTGTGGTTTTACATAATCTGTTATGTGGCTGCAGTAAAACGTCAAGTACTGCGACAAAATGTCTGCAATATGGATAGATATTGAATTCAATTCAGTTTATTTATATTGAGCCAAATCTCAACAGAAGTCATTTCAGGGCACTGAACAGAAACATTCACATATATTATAAAAACCAATTAGTAAAGTTATCTATCTAAGGAAACAGCACACTTGTTGAATCTTCACTTCTTCACAGTCTCCCATCCTGAACAAGCACAATGGAGACAGTGGAAAGGAAAATCTCCCTTTAAAAAAAATTACCCTTTATTAATCCAGGTAGTCTCATTGAGCCACGAGAACACATTTTCAAGAGAGACCTGTTTTAGGGAGCAGATGGTGGGGGTTAAGGGCCTTGCTCAGGGGCCCAGGGTAGGGTGAATGAGGGTGGAGGGAGGTGTGGGTGTTCCACCTTTTCCACCCACTTTTTTTTTTTATGTTGACGGTACCGAGAGTTGAACCTGCGACTTTCCGATCACAGGCCTATCTTCTAACCTCTGCGCCACCACTCCCCCAACAGGAAGAAACCTCTAGCAGAACCAGGCACAGGATAAGCATCAGCTGCATTTAGATATGCAAAGAAGGCACCAAAAGGTTCACAGGACGAAGAGTAGGAGCAGGAGAACGAGCAGCAGCAGGGGAAAGAGCAGGAGTAGGGGAAAGAACAGGAGTAGGGGAAGGAGCAGGTTAAAGAGCAGGAGCAGAAGAAGGAGCAGCAGCAGGGGAAGGAGCAGCAGCAGTGGAAAGAGTAGGGGAAGGCGCAGGTTAAAGAGCAGGAGTATGGGAAGGAGTGGGAGGAAAAAGCGTCCACCTTCACCTAGAACAAGAAGGAAAAGAAAATGTGGTCAGTTTGTCCTCCGGCAGTCTAATGCCCCTTTTCCACCGTCACGGCGCGGGTCGGATATTTCCGGCTTGAAGCGCGTTTGAGGTCTTTCCACTGTTCCTGTGACCGGCTCGCCTCGCTAAATTCTGGCCCGGCTTCTCAAGGGGTCCGAGCGAGCCGCGCCGTGACGTCAGAAACACTGTCGGTCACTGATTGGTCGGGGGGAGGAGTCTGTGGAGTCTTTCCAAACAACCCGATCCACCATTTTTTTCTCTATCGCTTGCCATTAGCGATAACACGAGGAACGTATCTTTTAGTATTTTGAAGCTATTCACCTTATTCTGCAAGAGCGTATGTGGGCTGCCATGACAGACAGGTACCGCCCCCTCCCGGTTTTATACTTCCGGTGAGCTAAAGCGAGAGGCACTTTTGCTAATGACAGGCACTTTTGCTAATGACAAATTCTAGTAATTTGTGCTGTAGCAGGAGGCTTAAACAATTCTAATATGAGTTCGGGTTCAACTTGTGCTGTTGTTGGCTGTCACAACAGCTCCAGAAAACTGAAAGACGAGCTAGAAACGTATTGTTTTGCACATCAACAACTTCGAAAGGCCTGTGTGTGCCCAGTGCGTTACGAACTGCACTCCATGCCGAGGAAGGAGGATCGAAAACGAGCGTGGCTGGCAGCTTTAAAACTCAAATACCCCCCGAAGAGAGTTTATGTTTGCTCCTTTCATTTTATTGATAAAAAGCCCACAGAGCTTCACCCCGACCCGGAGCTCTATCTGGGCTATGACCGGGCCCCACCAAAGAAAAGAAGGCAGCTCATCCGGACCACTGTGAGCCAGACAGCTTCCAGCAACATCGACAAAACGGCCGAATCTGTTCCCGGTGAGTGAAATTGAAAATGTGATTTGTCCCCGCTTCACATTTTAATCATGCTTAGCTCTTATCTTTTACTGAATTATATTATTATTAATGTTATAATTGTAATGTTATAATTACTATACTGTGGATGGTGTTAGCATCAGCGCTAGCTGGTTGCAGTGTTATTGTGGATGTTAGTGTATTATTAATTTAATTCCAAAATACTTTATCACTAAGAGAAAGTACTTGATTGGCAGCCAAATCCAAATCTTAAAGACAAAGTGGTTAGTAATTAACATCAGTAGCATGCTAGCAGAGATGTATATGATTTCATGTAACTGTCCGAGAATAGCTTTTTATTTAGCAACCTGGTAAAATTCAGCCCCCAGGGCTGTAAAAGTCTGGGGATTTTGTTAATAAAGAATATGTTGAGTTATTAGAGGCAGGTTATTTGAAACAGACACAGCTGAAAAAAAAACTTCTTTTAAACTCTTTAAAGAAAAAGCTTAAATGCAACCTAGCTCCAACTGATTTTTTTAAGGATGAAAAACTAAAATCTAATCACAATATTTTGATATTATAGCATAATTTGATGGGGCTTAGGAAAATTTAAGGGGGCTAAAGCCCCACTAAAACAGCACTATTGACATTTAAGATGTATCATGTGTGTACGAGTGTGGAATTACAAATTTCCTTCCTAAAACGTAATAAGGTAAGTGACACTTGAAAGGTTGTGTTACGCTGATTTGATTTTGTATTTTTGTGTTATTCAGAGTGCACCGTAGATTCACCGTCAGTCATCCCAGACCTGGCTAGCGTCTCCACACAACCTCCTGGGCCACATCTGCACTCAGTCCACACACAGTGGGAGGACCCTTCGCTAAAAGATCATCATCAATACTGCAACACGTCTGGCAGAAAAGATGTCCAGGACAAGACGACTCAGTGTGATGAAGTTGCATTTTTTCTTCTACAAAATGACGCAGACGCTTTGCTGTTAGAAACATTTAACACTCTTGTGTCAGCACTGGAAGGAGATGACAACAATGAATTTACAATGCCTGTACAAGATCAAGTCCTTATAACACTTATGAAAATAAAGACTAATCGTGTAATGGGTGACCTAAGCCGCCAGTTTAATATATCACAGAGCATGGCTAGCAAGATCATTTCATACTGGTTAGACAGACTGGAGGAATATTTCCGACCATTAATTTTGTACATTTTACTTGTGAAATATTCAACAAATTTTCTATTAAATGTCTGCTTTCATTCACAACACAGACTTGAACTCTGACTATATTGATGTCTGGCTGTCAAATTCATAGTTGTCCTTAAGGGCCAATGTACATTACAGCTTGCCCATTATCTTCAAGTATCTGTCATTTAACTTAAACCGTCCTGCAACATACTCTTCTACAAGCCGAGGCAAGAAACATGAGAAGTAAAAGCCTCTCAAGCGGTCTACTTTTTCTTTAACAAATGCCTCATCATATTGCACTGTAAATGAAACATGCTCACTTGGTGTCCAGATCACAAGTGTTGCAGTCTTTAGACGTGTGCAAAACATTGTAAGCTGCACTTGCATGTAATAGCCTCTGCTTCCTGTTTTATGCAGCTGCAGCTCTCCATCTACCAATTTGATGTCGCTGCACTTCTGGGTAAGCTGCTCAGTGAGCGAAGGATGGGTTGGTACAGGACATTTAATTTCTAGCAGCACATCTGAATCAATGACCCCATCAGGACTAGCAGAGAGCCATGGCTCCTGGATGCTGACAACAGTACCCACGTGAATGATGTTCACACCCTGTTCTGTCAGTTGATCACAAGCTCTGATCTCATTTTCTTTACCGTAGTTTGTGTCATAATTACCACGAAAGGAGGGGTACAGGTGCTCCGATAAAAACTTGTCATTTTTTGTGGTAGCACGAACTGGAACTTTTTTTGCAGTGCTTGCTGTGAGTCTGATTTTTCTACAGTTGTGCCACAAATCTGATGCACTTTGTTCTTTAGTTTTTTCTTGTAATTGTGATGCTTGCTGTTCAGAAACTTGAATATATGCCAGATAGAATGCCCTGCATGGATTACAGCTAAGATCACCACTGTGTGCTTGGTGTGGCAGAAAAAATTGCTGATCAATTGTGCTGTTGCAGTGAGGTTCTGCTGATGGTGAGGCATTGTAACACTTTCCAATTAATGTGTTCTTGAGGAGAAACAGTGGCTTCATTGGCGCTTTGCTAACACTGTCTTTGAAGTCTTGGTGTGTATGATGATGTGGCGTGTTTGGGAGTGATTGTGTGACTGCAGCCCTTGAGTTGATGTTATACTGCTGCTCTGCCTTGTGGTGTCTGAAGTTTATCATGCTTAGACGTTTGGGTTGAAGATTCTTTGCTGTCCCAGCATTCCACCTGCGCTGCTCATCTGTACATGCTAGCCCCGTCTTTCCACTGATCACAGCATTCTGGACCTGTAACAATTTAACAGACTTCAGCTATCACTGCTCCTAATAAAATGAAACAAGTTATTTACATCCCTGCTGTTGTCATTTATTTTTTCCTTTTCTGTAAATGTTAGGTTGCCTTGCATCCAGTCTGTACTTTTTTAAAAACAAATAATATAAAAATACTGTACAGCCTTTTTAATGTTTAATTTTTTGTGACAGTAGATCACAGGCTGCACAATGCTCTGGCTTCCACATGTAAACACAGGCAGACAGGAAGCTCACAGCTTTCGCCCAGTTCAGTGATTCTGATTCAGTGATGTAAATATTCTGATATCCAGATAAGTGATATACCTTCCACAGAATAGCTGCCGCATGACTGCATGATTTTCCCAATCCGGCGATACAGGAACAGCCGACCGTTTCTACCACTCCACTTTCTCTGAGCATGACCCATGCTAAGTGTTTAGCTTGACCAACGCTCTGGCTCGGCTCAACAGCTGCTTTCAGAAAGATAAAGTCGCCTTGTTTCTTGAGCAAAACTGTATCTATTTTGTTGCTGTGGAGGTAATTATACGCCTCTGTGCTTTTATAATTCCGCAATTCCTCGCCATCGACGCCTTCAGAAAAAACAAGGTAATTAATAATATCGATGTAGGTAATTCCGGGCCATGATTTCATATCATCTACCCAGTCCGTGAGAAATGATGGGTGAGACACAGTTAACGACTTATCTTCGCGGCTTTTTAAAACATCCTTGCAATGTATCCACCTCTGATGTGCTGCCATTTACTTCAGGTAAAGGAAACTTTTGTGTCAAAAACATTAAATTGCTAGCAAGTGTGTTAACCCACAAACGTAAACAACAGCGCGGGATCGCGGGCGGAAGTAAACAACCGGCTTCCGCTATGAATTATGGGTAGTGGCGCCAAATCCGGAATAAGGTGGATACAACAACAATAATATCAAAGCTGTGGTGAAATGCAGAAGTGCAGGTGGTGTTGTGCTTGGTGGCCGACGAAAAAAGTCAAAGCGAGCTAGATGGAGGATTGGAGGGTGGTTTGGACACGGCCACTGCTCTACTTGAATCATTTATAGAAGATGGTGAGTGTTTTCTAACTTTAAACATATTTTAAATTACTCATCCCATCGGTTCTGGACATATTTTTAACTAACAAAAGAGGCTGACGCCATAATAGGACCACATCGGTGCTACGATGCTAAGCTAATTTGCATAAACGCTAACTGTCCTCCGGTACCGTTTCTCACTGTATTTTATCCAGAACGTATTTCAGCGCGTGATGGTTCATCTCTAAACTCCACATTAAACCCTCCAAGCCTCCCGGCTCCTGCTCCTGCTCCATCAGAGGAGTCTACACCTGACAGAGCTCCATCACAGCCCAGCTGCACCTCACAGAGCAGCACAACGCTGCAGCTTCTGTGCTCGGTAAGAACAGATGCAACATGTTCCACTTCAATTTATTTGTGCCGATAAGGACTTGATTTATTTTATTTTTAAAGTAAAAAACTAAAATGTTGAATAAATACTGAATTGGGATGAAATTATGTACTTTGTACACAGGGTCCCAGTTACAGACAACAAAATGTAAAAGAAAAACAGTAATAAGATCTAAGATATGAATTAAGAAAAATATCAACTAAAAAACATCTACTAATAAAACACTAAGCACTAATAGCAGTAAACAATCAAAACAATACGTCAAACAGCAACATGAACTAGAGTTTGTGCAGCCTTATGAATATATAACACTGTGAAGAATCACATCATGTTGCTGCTGATCAGTTTCATGTTGCTGCTGATCAGTTTCATGTTGCTGCTGATCTGTTTCATGTTGCTGTGTTCATTCGTGCTCGTCTGTTCACACAGACTCATGTCCGTGCTGCTGTTCTGCGTATTGTGTTTAATGTTTTTATGCTATTAAAGCTTATCATATTTTTAGTTGATGTTTTTCTTAGTTCATATCTTAGATCTTATTACTGTTTTTCTTTTTTATTTTATTGTTGGATGTAACTGGGACCCTGTGAACATAATTTTGATCCACCACATGTACCACATGTGGTGCGAATGACAAAGAATATCTGCATCTGTATAATACTTTCTGATTCATATATCCATTATTATCATTTTCATTATTTTTAAATCAATTTATTTTTCATTTTCTTATTTGATCAGTTTATTATTATTAATATATCTATTATAGCTGTTAGCAGCACCTTTCTTTGTTTCATGCATTTATTCAAAAACAGTATGTAGCTTGAATTAACCACTTTTTCTTCTTTCTAGTGAAGAGAAAGAGAAAAGAGTCCAGTAAAGAAAAGTCTTATTTTATCACTGAATGAACATGAAGAACTGAACCGGACACAGCAGGAACAACACTTGTGTCTTCTTCTGGATGAAGCCCGTGAGACAAGGGACAGACAATCATTAGTTGGACGCAGTAGCTTTTATTTTTGTACATTTTTCACTTCTTACTTTTCATATTAAACAATTTTTTTCTTAAGTGGTGTCCTTGAACATTAAATTTCCTAAACAAATTTTACAATGTTAAGTTCATATAGTGTTTGTTTAAATTCATACTGGAAGTTGAGAAGAATTTCCAATTGCATTTGATCTTTAATGAATCCTAAGAAAAGATTACTAGAATCTGCTCAACTGTTATTATGTTATAAATTTTTTGGTTCTAGGATGAAGTGACACAAAAACAGTCAAAAATTCAGAAAGGACAGTTATCAATTATCAGTCATCAGTTATCTTTTAGCAGTTATCGTTTATCGGCCGTACAACTGTGGCCCGAGAGATTCAGCTGAAAGTCCTGGTGCACCTTTTATTTGAACCTGCAGAGATTTGAACAGCTGATCTGAAGCCAACAGGCAGGAGTTCACCTAAACTGACCACTCCTGCTGTGTTTGATGGTCTCCTCCTTCGCCATCCATCCATCCATCATCCATCCATCCATCCATCCATCCTCTTCTGCTTCAGGGTTGTGGGAGCAGCATCTTCACCAGGGAGGCACAGACATCAACAGCCACCTCTTCAGCTCTTCTAGGACCCCATGGTGTTCACAGACCAACTGACTATTTATTAATTAATATCCTGATGCTGCTCAATAATCCAGGTAGAAAAATCTAAAAAGTCAAATCTGGTCCTCTGGACATTCACAAAACAAACAATACAGTTTATAATAAATAAACTAAATGTTTTTTGTTAGTTTTGTTTTTTGAATGTCCAGAGGACCAGACTTAACTTTTTTAGATTAATAAGTAATAAATTTATGTTTTAATTTAATGAAAGACAAATCTTTAAAATTCAAGGACAAAATTTAATCTAATTGTTTTCAAGTCTGTATCTTATTGTAAAAGCAGTTTCAAAGATTACAGCACAATGTGATGTTTTGCAATTTTAACATGAACCTTGTGCATATCTGCAAATAATAAAAGTGAAGATATTTTTAATACATCTTTATTGTAAAAATCTATACTAAAATGAAAAACACATGGGTTTAAAGCAGGCAGGGAAGGCAGTAAGGTAGGATTATGAATCAGGTTTAAAAGTTACAGCTCATGAGGTACTCCATTAGAGCATGACATCGCTTCCACAACATCGTGTGACAAAACCTTCAGGGTGTTCTTCTTCTAATACGTTTAGTGGTGGCTAGTAAGTAGCTTAAGGGAGCACTACCGCCACCAGGTGGTAAGATGAGTTGGATTCTAGTCCCCGCCTACAGAGCTGGTCCAGAAATGTACATGGAAACACAACAGACCCGAACTGATCTGATCCGCTCTGTGACAGTGGAAAAGGGGCATTAGTCTGTAGCAGCATAACTAAGGGATAGCTCAGGAAACCCAAGCCAACCCCAACTATAGGATTTATCAAAAAGGAAAGACTTAAGACTAATCTTTAAAGTAGACAGTGTCAGCCTCAGAAACTGGAAGTTGGTTCCACAAGAGAGGAGCTTGAAAACTGAAAGATCTTCCTCACTTTCTGCTTTTAAAAACTCTAGGAACCAAAAATAAACCTGCAGTCTGGGAGCGAGGTGCTCTGTTAGGAAAATATGGACCAATAAGATCTGTAATATAATGCCCCTTTTCCATTAGTACCGGTACGGGCCGACTGGACCCTACTTGGCCCGGTTCCGAGGCTTTTCCATTAGTACGGGTACTTAGCACCTGTTACTATTTTCAGTACCCTTGGCTCTGTGGTTCTAGCCGGAACGAAGAGGTACTAAAACGTGACGTCAGAACACTGTCGGTCACTGATTGGTCGGGGGCGGAGTCACTGGATCCTTCAGAAACTTTTCAAAACAATAATCCGCCATTTGCAATTTCTCGGACTGGAGCAGCGGCTGGACTTATTTTAAAGAT